CGTTTCCAGTTCAGCCGTTCCCAGTGCAGCCGTTCCCAGTTCAGCCACTCCCAGTTCAGCCGTTCCCAGTTCAGCCGTTTCCAGTTCAGCCGTTCCCAGTGCAGCCGTTCCCAGTTCAGCCACTCCCAGTTCAGCCGTTCCCAGTTCAGCCGTTTCCAGTTCAGCCGTTCCCAGTGCAGCCGTTCCCAGTTCAGCCACTCCCAGTTCAGCCGTTCCCAGTTCAGCCGTTCCCAGTTCAGCCGCTCCCAGTTCAGCCGTTCCCAGTTCAGCCGTTCCCAGTTCAGCCGTTCCCAGTTCAGCCACTCCCAGTTCAGCCGTTCCCAGTTCAGCCGTTCCCAGTTCAGCCACTCCCAGTTCAGCCGTTCCCAGTTCAGCCGTTCCCAGTTCAGCCGTTCCCAGTTCAGCCGTTCCCAGTGCAGCCGTTCCCAGTTCAGCCTCAGCCCCCCCAGCCCCTCAGATCTCCCCTCGGAGCTGTCGCAGTCTCTCAGGTCGGGGCCGTGGATTCTCTGCCCGAGGGTGCTCAGGTTTCTCTCCCTTCCCCTCCTGCCTCTGGCCCCGCTGGCCCTGCTGCAGGTAAGGGCAGGGTGGGTGGCTCTGTCTGGAAAACGCTGGAAATGCTGAAATAATCTCAGAACACGTTCCCCAGAGGCACCTTTGGCTCATCAGGCCTCCCTGGCTCTGCAATCACCCCAAACCTCACAGGGAAGAACACTTTCCTCCTCCCTCCCCCTCCTCAGCGTTGTTTTAGAGTGAAATTGCCCTAAACGCAATCACGGGGCGCTGGGAGCGTGCTTCACATCCAGCTGTAATTCCAGCCCAGGTTATGCTCAGTTCACACCAGGGCTGATACTGCATCGTGACATTCAACTCCATCCAGGCTTTATTTGTATTCCTAAGCCATCCATTGCAAAGACTGCTCTTCATAAGCACAAAGAGCTCCAAAGCATAAATATTTATTCCTTAAAGGTTAAGATTGCCTTAAATCATTCCAGCTTATTTGGTGAGCAGCAGTTATAATTAAAGTAAGCAGTTGAACTCGATCTGCATGTATGAAATGCATATATATGTGTATATAAATATATATTTATATATACTTGACTCTGGTGCGGATGGAAGCCGTGGGATAATTGCTCCCATCACATCAAAAGATGCACTGATATTGTTCCTGGATTGGATAATAAATCAGCAGAAAGAAGCAGCTGAAATTATATAATGGCAAGTCACGTTTGAGCAGGCGGCAGAAGCCGAGGTGGGGAATGAGCAGAGCTCGTCTCGAGTGCTGGCTGGAATTGCAGGGGATAATTATGCAAGTTATGGAAATTAGTCCAGTTTTGGCTGTAGAGAATTGGCAGAACCCGAGGATGGGGCTGGGAGCAGCCTGGGACAGGGGAAGTGTCCCTGCCATGGCAGGGTGGCACTGGGTGGGCTCTGAGACCCCTCCAGCCCAGCCCAGGCTGGGGTTCCGTGCTCTGTGTTGGGATGTGGTGGGACACGGGTCCCTGAGAGCGCTCAGAGTGTGTGAGTGGGCTTTTAGAACAGCTTGAAGCTTTCACAAGTGTTATTCCAGAATGTGGAGAAGTTGGGATGGGAACCACGAGTAGCTGGTGGAAGGAAGGGGCAGGAAATCCTGGAGTGTGCTTGGGAATTGTGTGGTTGCCAGTCTGCCCTGAAGCAGGGCTGTGTCTGGGCAGTTTGACATGGGGACTGCTGCTGGCACAGCTGGATTCAGCCTGGCACAGCTGGATTCAGCCTGGCACAGCTGGATTCAGCCTGGCACACCTGGATTCAGCCTGGCACAGCTGGATTCAGCCTGGCACAGCTGGATTTAGCCTGGCACAGCTGGATCAGCCTGGCACAGCTGGATCAGCCTGGCACAGCTGGATTCAGCCTGGCACAGCTGGATCAGCCTGGCACGAGATGGGGCTGTGCCCTTTGGAAAATCCCGTGCCCAGTTAGTCGGGATCGAGCGGTGCAGGTGTGAGCTCAGCTTTGGCAGCAGGCAGGGGCTGTGTGGGGCTGGGGAGCCTGGTGTGACAGACCTGCTCTAGCAGCAGCCCGCCTTACTGACTGCTCATGAATAATGCACGTCAGCAAAGCACACAGATCTGCTTCGGGCCTGGGCCGAGCAGACCGAATCCTGGACAAAGATGCACTTTTAAAGAATTGGCAAAATAATTCCCCGTGGATAGAGTGGGACACAAAGAAGTTGTGATGAGTAACAGAGGAAACCAGAGGAGTGTCATTTAAAATGAGAACACTGGTCCTGCTGTGACCTGCTGGGAGGGCGTTGATCTATCCTGGCAAATTCTTACTTTGAGGGCCACATTTTCATTAATTTGAAATTTCTGGCGCTGTTTATTGGCTGAGAATCCGTGGGCATCGTGGCCAGGACTTGAGCTGAGCACAAGCCTCGTTTTAACCCCGCAGTGGGGGCAGGAGATGCGTTCAGCAGATGAATTCACCGGATCACTGAGGTTGGAAAAGCTGCCCGAGACCCCCAGGTGCAGCTGCAGGTGCAGCACCGTGCTCAGCACCGGCCTCGAGGGCTGGGGAAAACAGCCGAGGCTTCTAAAGGGAATTTTTATTTCCTAGGGACAAATTCCGTTCTTCCCTTATGGTTTGCTCACAGGTTCTGCCTCCAGGCTGGACACGGCCGCGGGCCCCTTGGTGCCAGCACAGGTCACCCGCGTCACCGCCGTGGCCGCGCCCGCCGTCACCCTCATGGCCACCAACCTGATGGAGCCGGCACGAGCAGGTGGGTGCTGCTCCGTGTGCCCATCCCAGGGCTGGAAGCTGTGTCCTGCCACTCCTGCAGGGATGGGCTCCCCGAGGACCCCCAGGTTTTCCTTTGCCTGGCCTGGGCCCACTCAGGTGCTGCTCTCGTCACCTTGGAGGCACCACGGGGCCCTGAGGGCACCTGCCCAGCGCTGTTCTGGGGGAAAAAAAGGTGTTTTCCAGGAATTCCTAGGGATCAGCTCAGACATAACCTAGCTGACCTCCTCCCTGGGGGTTACACTGTGTTACCCAGGGGAGCTGGGGCTGCCCCAGCCCTGGAAGGGTCCGAGGCTGGGTTGGGTGGGACTCGGAGCAGCCTGGGGCAGTGGAAGGGCTTTAAGGTCCCTCCCAACCCAAAGCAGGCTGTGGTTCCAGCAGGGCAGTAGCAAACAGCACCTCTTGGGCAGTGCTGGCTGTGTGCCTGGAAAAGCCAACCATGGAATGGGTTTGTCCCTGAACTCCAAATTCCAACAAGGAATTTGCCTGTGTCATTCTCCTGTTCCCATTGCAAATCCCCTGCAGAATACCAGGGAGGGTGGGCACGGATTGTGGCAGGAAGAAGAAAAGCTCAGCTCAGGGAGATCTGTTCTGAGAGGGGAAAGGAGCCCTTGGAGGGCACAGCAAGAATGGTCAGCAGAAAACAACAGCACCCAAAGGGGAGAAACCAGTGTGGGAGGGCAGGAGCTGGAGTGGGAGCTGTGTCCCTGGAGCAGTGCTGAGGGCAAGGTGGGATCCCAGTGCCTGGAGCAGGGACCTGGCTGTGGAGCCAGAACTGGGATCCCACACTTGGATTGAGTTAGACCCAGCAGAGGAGGAGCTGGGATCTGTCACGGGAGGTTTCAGGCTGATCTCAAACACCAAAGCAGTGAGGTTGTAGGAAGAGACAGAATTGACCTGTGGAGATTCTGGGGGAGGATAAACACCACAGTGTGGGATGTGTGTACTTAATAAATCCAGTTCTTGGGAGCTTTTAAGAGTCAAAATGTTAAACTTTTTTGATATTAATGGAGGTTTGGCCTCTGCATATTTTTACAAAACAAATTTTTATGATGCCTTGTCCACAGCTCCTCATGGCATGAATCCATCTTCCCTCTTCCCCTCCCTCTCTAATTCTGCTTTTAATGAGATGTTTGTGATCACACCCAACATCCTCTGTGCTATACCCAAGGAGTTTTGCTGCTTCACCTTTCCTTGCCATGCTGTGAATTATTCATGTCCCTGTACCTGCCGTGGAGCCCTGGAGAAGCCTCTTTAATCAGGAGCATTTATCTCCATCTCCTGCTCATCCTCCAGCCGCTGAGCTCACCAGTGCTGCTGGTGCTGCTGAGCTGGGGGTGAAAAAGAGGTGGATGTGCCACACAGAACCTCAGGATCCAGAGTGGTTTGGGCTGGAAGCTCATCCCCCCCTGCCGTGGCAGAGACATCTCCCGCTGTCCCGGGTTCTCCCAGCCCCAGGGACACCTGGGGACACCCCGAGGAGTCACACACACCTTGTCCTGCTGCAGGAGGGATGGGCCAGCTCAGCTCACACCCCAAATGAGGAGCACAAGCACACAAAACCCCCCAAAAGAAGAAAATCCTGTGTTTAACTGAGATCGTGCTGTGCACGCTCCTGTGCTGGGCTGGCTCGGTCGCTGTCTCACCCCTGCTGTCCCCAGAGGCCTCGCTGCTGTCACACCTCTGCAGGCAGCAGACACTTCAGCATTTCAGGATGGAGACAGCTGTCTGTAAAGGAGAGGGAAATGTTCTTTCCCTGCTTCCCCTGGAAATCAATCCCTCCTTCCCTGGGGATTCCTGCAGGGCTTAGCCGAGCACAGCAGGATGTGCGGGCTGGGAACAGGGGGTGCCCAGGGGGATGAGGAGCAGAGGGTCAGGGAATGCTTTGGGTTGGGAAAAGCCTCTGACATGGTGGAGGTCAGCCAGGAGCCCAGGCCTGCCCTGCCAGCCCTGCCTGTGTCCCCAGGGTGTCCCCAGGGTGTCCCCAGGGTGTCCCAGGGTGTCCCCAGGGTGTCCCCAGGGTGTCCCCATGGTGTCCCCAGGGTGTCCCCAGGGTGTCCCAGGGTGTCCCCAGGGTGCCCCAGGGTGTCCCCAGGGTGTCCCCAGGGTGTCCCAGGGTGTCCCAGGGTGTCCCATGGTGTCCCCAGGGTGTCCCCAGGGTGTCCCAGGGTGTCCCCAGGGAAGGCAGGACCCCACACTCGGTGCAATAAAGAGGTTTCATGTGTTCCACTGAAATGTGGTGTTTGGAGAGGAGATGAATCCTGGGCACAAGGGGGGTGTGTGGATAACGGAGGAAGGGGTGGCAGGAGGAGGCTCAGAGCCACGGGGCAGCACTTTGGGTTTTCTTCAGCACTTTGGGCTCCTTGTGAGTTTATTTCAGGGTAAAAGAGCTCCTTTCCCCTCACAGATCGTGGCAAGGAATCGAGCAGAGCCTCCCGCCCGCCCACGCTGATCCTGCACACGGAGAGGAAGAGTGGCCCCACGGGCAGTGACAGTGACAAGGTCAGTCCTGGAGCCTCCTCCCGAGCCTTTGGGACCTCTGAGCTGCACAAACCCGGCCCAGGGGCAGGATGGGCTGTGCAGGATCCTTCCCTGCAGTGCATTTTAAAAAGCCTTGGGTTGAATTTATCTCGGAGCTGTGCAGGAGCTCTGGCATTGTCAGGGATGCTTTGCTCCCCGTGGAATCCCAAAATGGTTTGGGTTGGAAGGACCCCAAATCCCCCCCATCCCACCCCAGCCATGGCAGGGACACCTTCCCCTGTCCCAGCTGCTCCAGCCCCAATGTCCAGCCTGGCCTTGGGCACTGCCAGGGATCCAGGGGCAGCCCCAGCTGCTCTGGGCACCTGTGCCAGGGCCTGCCCACCCTGCCAGGAACAATTCCTGCCCCAAATCCCATCCAGCCCTGCCCTCTGGCACTGGGAGCCATTCCCTGGCTCCTGTCCCTCCATCCCTTGTCCCCAGTCCCTCTCCAGCTCTCCTGGAGCCCCTCCAGGCCCTGGCAGGGGCTCTGAGCTCTCCTGGAGCCTTTTCCAGGTGAACATTCCCAGCTGTCCCAGCCTGGCTCCAGGGCAGAGGGGCTCCAGGGATCATTTGGTGCCTCCTCTGGGCTCTCTCCAGCAGCTCCAAGCACTTTATTGCAGTGTGGTGGGCACAGAGGGGCAGCAGGGGGACAGGACAGCCAGCCCCTGGTGCAGAGCTGCTGTCCCTGAGCAGCCCAGGGGAGCTGCTGGAGGGAGCAGAGCTCCTCAGCCTCCCTGGGCAGCCCCAGAGCCTTTCCTCTCCTGCTGTGCCACGCTCCGAGTTCTCCCTCATCCCTCTCTCCCCTGGGAGCTGCTGGCATGGACAGGACCTGCTGGCTGCCTTTTCACTGCTGCTGCTCTGAGTGGGGAGGCATTTCTGTAATTCCCATTTACCTGAGCTGTGGGGAGGCATTTCTGTAATTCCCATTTACCTGAGCTGTTCCAGAGACAGCTGGCTGGAATTTAAAAAAAATAAAAAAAAATAAACATACAGGTAGAGAGATTAGATAGATAGATAGATAGATATAGATATAGATAGATATAGATATAGGTAGATACATAGATATAGATAGATATAGATATATATAGATATAGATACAGATATACATAGATATAGATACTTAGATATAGATATAGATATATATAGATATAGATACAGATATAGATAGATACTTAGATATAGATATATATATAGATAGATATAGATATAGATAGATACATAGATATAGATATAGATATAGATATAGATATAGATATAGATAGATATAGATAGATAGATACAGGTAGATACATAGATATAGATAGATATAGATACAGCTATAGATACAGATATAGATACATATAGATATAGATAGATATAGATATATAGATAGATAGATAATAGACATAGATAGATAGATATAGATAGATTAATAAATAAAATAAATAAAATAAATAATTAAAGCAAATAAAATAAATAAAACAAATAAAATAAATAAAAGAACTTAAATAAATAAATAAAATAAATAAAATAAATAAATTAAATAAAATAAAGCCTCTCCTGGAGTTCTGGCCATGGGGTGACCCCCTCCAGGCTGAGGGGGGATCTGCAGCTGCTGGTTGTTAACCACCCCTCTGTGTCTCTCCAGGACCACTCCTTCAAGCTCGTGGCTGAGGCTGACAGCACTTCCAACGGGAACAAGCCCGTGGCATCCACACCAGTGCCAGGATCCCCGTGGTGAGAGCCCTTTCCTGGGCTGGGAGCTGGGAAACACTGCCGAGGGTCCCTCTGGCAGAGCTTTCCTGGGGAATGGCCCGAGGGAGGGTGTGGGAAGGAACCCCAGCTGCAGCCAGCTGTGTCTGCAGGGCAGGGCCTGGGGTGTCCCTGGGGTGTCCCTGGGGTGTCCCCAGGCTGTCCCCAGGCTGTCCCCAGGTTTTCCCAGGCTGTCTGTCCCCAGGCTGTCCCCAGGCTGTCCCCAGGCTGTCCCCAGGTTTTCCCAGGCTGTCTGTCCCCAGGCTGTCCCCAGGCTGTCCCCAGGCTGTCCCCAGGCTGTCCCCGGGCTGTCTGTCCCCGGGCTGTCCCCAGGCTGTCCCCAGGGCTGCAGTGCCCCCACTGCGGGTGATTCCTGGCTCTGGCCAGGCTCTAAGGCTGCTTTATCTCTTGGAGCAGGTGTGTGGTGTGGACTGGAGATGACCGGGTGTTCTTCTTCAACCCCAGCATGCAGCTGTCGGTGTGGGAGCGGCCGCTGGACCTGAGGCACCGCGGGGACATCAAGCGGCTGCTCGAGGACCCCCCGCACAAGCGCAAGCTGGAGGCTGCAGCAAGTAACCCAACCCTGGCACTGCTGCCCTGTCCCCTGGCGTCCCCTGGCGTCCCCTGGCATCCCCTGGAATCCCCTGGCATCCCCTGGCATCCCCTGGCATCCCCTGGCGTCCCCTGGCATCCCCTGGCATCCCCTGGTATCACCTGGCACCGCCGGCC